TTTGAAAAACAAAGCCAAGTGAAAAATAACAAATATCTCAGAATCCTCTTTATCTCAAAGCAAAGCTCTGTGCATGAGGCCAATTTTGCCCAGTTATCAGGACAGGCTGATTACAGAGTCCTGGCTCGTTTGCTTGAAGATAATTGTCTCAATTCTCCACTTTACTTTGCACATATAGAAAGAGTCCCAATCTACTGCAGCCTCAGTGACTAGACACGTTAAATTGGTCTAATCATAGTTTGAAGAGCTCAAGCTGAAAGGATTCTATGAGCATAAGCCTGAACCATGACACCACTAAGGGCTTCTCCTCCCCCGTGTCTGAAGGATGAGTCAGAACCTCAGGCAAGGAGGCTCTCTGTCCATGGTGGCTGGAGGTGGGGAAGGGAGGTACTCAGGAAAGTCGGACAAAAGCATAGCTGGGGGCCAAGGCCTTTTGGACAGTCAGGTCCAGAGCAACCCGCAGTGTTTCCACCCCAAGACATCAGCTCCAGGTAGAAGCTGGGGCAGAGGACATCCAAGACCAGAAGCATCCGCTTAAGTGACATTCTCATGTCTCAGCTAATACTTTAATTCCAGGCTAGGGAGTGGGCAAATCCTACTGCTGACCTACGAAACAAGGCTCAGTACCCAGGAAGTCCAAACTCCAGGGCCAAAACCCAAACAAGGACACAGCCTTTTCAGGATGGCCTGTGCATTGAGCTCTGTGTGAGGGGAGGACCTACTGGGCAGTTCTCTGGCTCCTGAGTATAGAAATCACTCATTCTGAGAAGAGGGAAAAACAGAAGAAACTGTGCTGTGTGTGCGTGCATGCGTGTGTTGCTCTGCACAGAACTGAAGGCAAGAAAAGGCAACTCCTATGACTTCTCAAGGTTGATGGATTCGGCTCTGACTCCATCTTCCTCCTAATAGGTACAGCACAGATAAACCCAAAGATGGTCAGGACAGAATCCAGACACATCCTAAAGATGTTTTTCCCCTTATTGTTTGCTTTTAGCTTTAGCTGGCCTTTCCCCCTAAATCACAAAATCAGGAGCTTGGAGTTTTGACCATTTCTACTGGTGAGAGCCGATTGAGATCAGTGCAGTCCAAGTAACAGCAAAATAGCATCCTGGAGAGATGAACCAAATGTTCCCGCATTGTGCCTAGTCCCCTTGGAGAACAGGAGGGAGGGGCCTGTACCAAATTCCCAGTGGGGTTAAGCCTTTCTGGCTGATTGCCACAGTGAGGGGTGGGGAGCACTTCAAACTCCCTCAATTCATTTCTCACCAAAGGAAAGTTTGAAAAGCTCTCCATCTCCAAAAATAGTCCTTTCCAATGACTGTCCAAAAAAACATGTTCAAGAGTGATCATGCCCGCTGGCTGAGCAGAGCAGAACCCATCTCATCTTAGAAAATATGCCAGTAACTGTAGGACCTGACAACAGCTTGCAAGCCTTATACAGACTTATGTTGCCCAGAGCAACCAGCATATTCCTTTGCACACGGAACAGGTAGAATGGGAGCAATCTTTTCATGAGTTTGAAAAACAAACAAACCAAAACCCAAACCAAACCAAATCAAGAAACAAAACCCTAAAATTCTCAAAGTTGGACTAGGTTTTAAAAGACAAAAAGACAACAACAATTAGCATTGGCCTCAGAAACTAGAAGAATTTTACCTGTGATTCCAACCCTGGTTTCAGCCTACCTCCCCTGCTCATCTGCTAAGGTGGAATTCATTACTCTGTGCCCACTGGTAGTCTGTTGTTAATATTAGGGGGCATCTCACACTGATCTGTGTGTTGTTGGATGGCAGAAATTGTTCATCCTCATTTACTTCGATCTCGCCACAATGCCAGGAATAGTGTTTTGGTCATAAAAGTGACTCAATTCGTGATTGCTAAATAGACAATTTCATTTGTAATTTCCGAGACAGCTCCAGGAGGGGAGGCAAAGAAGGCCAATGTAATTAATAGATGGACCTGACTAATGCCTTTGCTCCAGAAAGTGAGTGTTGTAGAGCAAAGAACCTCAGAGGCCTACTGGCTTATAGGGACTCCAAAACAGGCCACTGGGTGCATTTGCAGTTACCTGGGTTGTCTCAAGACTGCCACTTAAACACTCCTTCCTGCCATGGAGGCGGCACCTTCAAAGTCTTCTGAAATAGAAGTAGAGTGGAAGGCTTGAAGCCCCTTACCTCCTCTCCTACAGCCTGGAAGAACGGCATCTAAAGAGGGCTGTAGTCGTCCTTCAGTTCCAGCTCTGGCCAGCGCCATGGAAACCTCTCCAGTGTGTGGTCATCTGTCCTTCGACCGAGCATAGTTTCTGATGAAGAGTTCACTCCACTTCAGAGGCCTGATTGCTAGAATATTCCTCGAGTTGAAGCCTATCTTGAAACAGCACCCATAGGTTCTAATCTTGCCCTCTGGAGGTATATAAATTCACTCGTAAAGCCTCTTTCACAGAACAGTACTTTAATGAGCTCAAGACAACCTCCTTCACAATACATCCAAATAAGAACCCTACTGTAGAAATATTGCAATGAACTGGAAACTGCTTTCCTGTCCAACTGGTCTAGGAGCCTCCTTCTGGCAGAGCTGTAAGGTAATATATGACTATGCTTTATTTACCAGCAGACAGAGAGCCCCTTGTTCCTTAGCCTGATAACAACAAAGGTTGTTCATCACCCACTTGGTCCCTTTTGAAATTCACTCTGCAGCAAGCACTTTTTAAAGTCATGCACATAATGCATTTTAAAGAGCATTTTCTGTGCAGATCCATTTGCTCAACCTCAGCACTAAGTGCAAGATGGAACTGTCTTTCAGTACAACCTCTGCTCCTCCTGGAGCCTGTGCTGAACACATGCTGAAATGAATTTGTAACTATACATATGACTGGGGCTTCAAAATGCATGCTTTCTTAAATGGCTGTTGGCTGATTAAAATGCATCCTGCAAAGAAAGAGCATTGCTAATGCAGAATCCTAGTCCAAAAATGTGTATTATGTAATGCATATTTTTTAATAATGCAGGCAATCTCAGTGTAGCCGTATCAGCGCATCAGCTCTGGGCTGCCATCTCTGTTAGAAGCATAAAGTACTCCACCTGAAAAATGAAGCACTTTCCTACATACACTAAAAAACCATAATCCACCTCACTGCAGACAGCTGGCATCAGTTTCCATCAAAAGGGCATTTACCAGCACCCACATGGTCCTGATTTCTGTCTGAATGTGCCCGAAAACTGGCTTGACCAATGTCTTTGTGCTCCATATGCTGCCAGGAGAGTTGTGCTAACTGAAAAAAATAAGGTAAGTATATGGAAGTGGTCAGACCCCCTCAGAAACCTCCATTAGTCAGGGAGGAAAGGCGACCTGAGCAAGGTCTCCCGGGCCACAGCAGTACCCTAAGAGTTAGCAGGGCGTACCTAGACTACTGCCACATGCCTGCTTATGGGCTTTGCTAATCCAACCCCACTCTGTCAGTGCAGTCAGCATTTCAAGGCTACACATTAAGAGTTACAGCACAAAGACCACCCAGCAGTGGTGGGGACCTTCCTAAGTCCTTGACTCTACACCTGGAAGCTTTCATGCAGTGTAAGTGAGCCATGGCCAGCACTGGCTTCAAGACATGGCTGAGAATTCACCTCCAGGAAAGAACCCTTGGGAAGCAGTTTGGAAAGGCAGCATCACCTCTTCTTTTGTGCTTCTTCACACGGACGCAAGAAAAAAAAAAAAAAAAAAGACCAACTTGTGACATGCCTCCCATGTAAAACAGCCCTACTGGGACTTCATGCACCCAGGAACACAGCTCTGCTGGTCTCTATGGCGAAACAGACAAACCAAAACCCAAAAAAGAACACACAAAAAAGCACAGCACTCTGTATTTAACAAGCAAGGCAAGGTAAACGAAGCCCCCACCCGACCCCCCAGGAGCACTGCTCACACCCAGGTGATCTGAGAACTTCCCACCCCACAGGGATCCATCCCCTCCTGGACCTACCTAGTCCATCAGGTTTTCCAGGGCTCAGGATCACGTCTTTTTACCTTAGCCTTCAGAGTCCAATACCACGATCTAGTGGTCTCTGGCCGCCCCCTAGCCATGATGTTCTGGTTGATGCACCTGTTTTTCTCATGTAGAATTTGAGCCGATGCTAGAAGAATGAGCTGATGCTCTGGTTAAGGTATATTAACCCCTCAACACCCTTTCTCTAATTCAAGACCCGCTCGGGCTCATTGCTGTCTTCAGCACCTAGAACAGAGCTCCGCATGTGCCGCGGACACAAGTGTGCTGGCTGAACCCCCTCAGCTGAAATGCATCTGAGTCCGTACTCAACGACTACCCTAAAAAGCCACACGGAGAGGACGGCTTGTAGGGCCTTCTCTTGGATACTCTCAGCTTCCCGTGGTCTTCCGTGTGCTAACCATCGGCTTGCAAACCCCTACCTCGACAGCTAAGGGGACCTTTCTTGGGGAGGGGAGCCTGTCTGTCAACGGGGTGCATACTTTTTTGGAAGCTGCTCTAATTGCAGTTACTTTAACAGCCATGACAAAAGTAACCACCTTTGTCATGATTAATGGCTACTTGAGGTTCCAGTCCTCAAACCATCAAGCTCTTGGGGCATGCCTGGTGCTAGGTCATTAATACACATTCATGTACGGACCCTCATTCTCCCGATTTTTTGCAAATTTGCGTTCTGGTTGGCTTCCATTCGTTTGATGGCTGTGCTCATGGAGAGAAAGTTGAGGAGTGGGACAGACCCCTACGGAAATCTATACTTGCCCTCCCAAGTCCGCTAACCTGTAGCTTTCTTACTTGCTTCGCTCGCTAGACCTCGCCAACCGCCAGCGCCCGCCCCCCCACTCGATGCTTTGGCGAAATCTTCTCAAACAAGGTTCCCGCCTGCCACCTGCCGGCCCACTAGGGTCTGCGCCACGGTCTATGCGCCACCCCCCCACCTCCCTACTGCACATGCCCGGCAGAAGTCCGCGCAACTTTATAGGGCCTCCCTGCCCCATCTCTCCTCAGTCTCCTCTATCCTCTCCCAGAAGAGAGGACCGGCGGAGGCACCTCTCCGAGTCTTAGACTGCACAGTCTGAGACTTAGCGAGAGGAGCCTGGAGGAGACAACCCTTCTCTCTCCTTTACCTATCCCTTTCTTTTACTTACAGACGGAAGCTGAGGCGCGGAGCTTTAGAAAGTTCGTGGTGGCCGGAAGGTAAGCGCATCCCTTCTTTTCGCCCTGAGGTGAGACTGGGGTCTCCGCACCCAGCTTCTCACTTCATAAGGTTCATCCTTTTCGGCTCTAGCTGTCCTTGCGCAGCGGGGCCACTCTCTGCAGAGCCAGAGGGTGAGTCGGCTTCTCGCTGAGCACCTAGGAGAATGGATCGCAGGTCCCGGGCTCAGCAGTGGCGCCGAGCTCGCCATAATTACAACGACCTGTGCCCGCCCATAGGCCGCCGGGCAGCCACCGCGCTCCTCTGGCTCTCCTGCTCCATCGCTCTCCTCCGCGCCCTAGCCACTTCCAACGCCCGCGCCCAGCAGCGTGCCGCCCAGCGCCGGAGCTTCCTTAACGCCCACCACCGCTCCGCCGCTGCCGCCGCTGCTGTCGCACAGGTACTCCCCGAGTCCCCTGAATCTGAGTCTGATCACGAGCACGAGGTGGCCCGGCCTGCGCTGGCCCGCCCCGAGTGCCTAGACTACGACCGGGACGACTACGAGACCGAGACCGAGACCGAGTCGGAGACCGAGACCGAGACCGAGACCGAGACTGAGACCGAGTCGGAGACCGAGTCTGAGACCGAGTCCGAGACCGAGACGGAGACGGAGACCGAGACCGACACCGATTTTGAGTCCGAGCCTGTGTCTGAGCCTGAGACCGAGCCCGAAGACGAGCGCGGTCCCCGGGGCGCCACCTTCAACCAGTCTCTCACCCAGCGTCTGCACGCTCTGAAGTTGCAGAGCGCCGACGCCTCCACAAGCCGTGCGCAGCCCACCACTCAGGAGCCTGACAGCGCAAGCGAGGGGGAGGAGCCCCAGCGCGAGCCCTTAGACGAGGATCCTCGGGACCCCGAGGAGTCAGAGGAGCGCGAGGAGGCGAGGCAGCCCCGTCGCTGCAAGACCAGGAGGCCCGCCCGCCGCCGCCGCGACCAGTCCCCCGAGTCCCCTCCCAGAAAGGGGCCCATCCCCATCCGGCGTCACTAATGGGTGACTCCGTCCAGATTCTCCTAGTTTTCATGGATAAAGGTTAGTTACCCTTACCAAACTGGGCAGCCTGAGACAGTGCGCTGGGAGGAAAAAGGCAGGTTGGGGGGTAAGGTGGGAAGGGAGCGGTGTCCACTAACCAGCCCCAAACGAACCCTAGAAAAGGAAAGTGGGTTCTTCAAATCTCTCCAGGGCACCCAGGGGCCCTTGAGAGGCCAAAGGTTTGTTGGACGGCGAGGCTTTTCTGGCGCCTCGCTGGAGACAACCTGAGGTCCCCCAGCTGGCACCCGGTGCGTGATACTGAAATCTGAGCGCGCCCCAAGTTTGGAGCCGCACACCTAAACGGCAATGGTAAGTAAATCGCTTGTTTTCTACGTCCCCCACCTCCTAGAAAGGTTAGTCTTCAGCGGTGTAGTGGTTTAGCTAGGGGCCACTGGGCTCCTGGACGGAGAGAGGTGCGCGTGCCAACTTTGGCGATCTGAGAGCCGCTCCGCCGTAGATACACTGTTGCAAAGCGCGGAAGGTAAGCGTGCTGGCACTGGGGAAGAACTCCATAGCCTAAGTCGCACGTGCGCTCAGCCCGCCCGGGAGCCTGGAAATCGGGCCCCGGCATGGCCAATTTGGGGCCGCAGGACCCTGCAGCCAGTGCCCCCCACGCCATGCAAGCAGTCTTGGCAAACACCGCTCACCTCTGGAGGTTCGCGGAGGCCAGAGATCGTGAAAAGGAGCGCGCGCGCCTCTCCCGTGCGCCCTAAGGCCAACCTTCTCGCATAGATAGGGGTCTCTTGATAATAAATAGTGCCTGGAGGGCACGCAGTGCAGGTACAGGAGCCTTTAGGGGTGCCTTTATGGGCTACCCGGGTTGGCAGCACTGACAAGGTCACATAGGGGTATCGCCAACCTTTTGGCGCAGCTGGTTAGGAGGATCCGACTTGTCTGGAGAGCTAGGGGACCGTGCGCCTAGGCCCTAGAGGCAGGACAGCAGGCATGAGAGCTCTACTAAGTTGTCTTGGGCAAAATGGTAAAGCAGATCAAGGCATAGGCTGAGTAAGGGGGTCGTGGCTACCACTTGGACACCTTCCAGGGCGTCTCCAAAGATCGTGACACTTCCTAAGCTGGGAAGATGTTGGATCCTGCGCTTAGGACTGAGAGAGGACAGGAAGGACACGTTACAGCCATTTTTGGCCATCTTCAGCTTGGGTGGGTCTGTATTCGGAATCCGTAACCCGAGGGGAGATCACCAGTGATCTGGCCCCAAAAGCGCAGTAAGCACGTAGCACACCTTGGAATGCTCTGCGTAGAAAGGCTGATCATAAGTAAAACGCACCTATTGGAAATACCTTTTTTTTTTTTTTTTTTTTAAGTACGCACGTCTGGTCTTGCGGCGGCCTGAGTTATTTTGATGGGATGATTTGGGAAATCTGGTTAAGAAAAGCATTTTCAGGGCTTGAAATGAAAGACAGCTGGGCTCCTGCGCGCCTAAGAGAATGGTGCTAGAAGGAACGCATTACGTAGTCTCCTTCCAGGACCTACCCTCTTCCCTGGGGTGGCGCCGTAGCCCCCAGAAGTTCAGTAAGGGTGGGCTGTGCGCACTGCGGCTAATTGCGTCGTTGGTCAACATCGGGAAGCAATTTGTTGGCAAATGGGTAAAAGAGGACGCGGCGGCCGGCCGGCGGAAAGGAGGCGGGATTTTGGGGCTGAAGGCGTGAAATTGCCTAAGTACCTTTCTGTAGTTAAAATTCTCGGCAACATACACGATGATGGTGACGTTTTCCTGACGTTAGATACCATTTTGTCTAGTGACGTATCAGTAGCCCGAGTTTACCAAGCAACAGGTTTCTAGTTAACAGGTGGAGATGCCCTGCTGTTCAGCATGTCATCTGAGTGACGCACTTTCGGCAGTTAGGTTTATCATTAGCTAAATTAGAACGCTGCCTTGTTGCTGAGATGAATAAAAAATTTAAAAGGTCTTCAGTCCCTATAGCCCCCCCTCCCCTACGTCGCTCTTTTTTAAAAAGAAGCCTACAGCCAGGAGTAGTAGCACAATGCCTTTTAATTACAGCAAAGGCAGGGGTATCGGTGAGCTCAGGGCCAGCTTGGTTTACAATTCCAGGCTTTACCCCTCCCCCAGGGGAGGGGGCGGTGCAAAAAAAAAAAAAAAAGAAAAAGAAAAAAGAAAGAAAAAAAAAGAAAGTAAAAGAAAAAACATAACCAAACCAACCAAACAAACAAAAAAACAACCCAACAAGTCTGAGTGGTGAGCAAGGCTCATACATGGGGTAACCAAATAGGAACGCGGGTTTTGCTGTCTCTCAGTAATCTTCCACGGTCTACCTGAGTCACAGCAGTCGCTTTTGCAGCTCAGACCTCCCTCCCCCTCAGCACTTCCCCCTTCCTAATGCTACTCTGACTCCAGGTGAAAAAGCTCAGAGAGCCGTTTGGAGGTGTACCACCTTTGGGAAAACACCCACCACCCACCACCCCCACGAGGTTCTGCTAAACATGTTTTCCAATGCCCAGTTTCTGTGAAACAGAGATTTCTCTCACTCACTGGGATTCAGCTACTTTCCTTTTACGGGGACTTTTCTAGCAGGTCCTCAAACATTCCCAACTGGCCCTTTGTCTCACCCTGCTAAGCTGGGGTTAGCATTTGAATTGGCTGGCTTGCCCTTTAACATAGGTAGATTGGCTGAGGGAGAGGAACCCTGGAAAAACCAAAGCCTGGGGGCTGGGGTGGGGGCTGGGGAGGCAAAGCTAGTTAAACTGTGCGCTACAAGATTTAGGACTCTTCGATGCATTAATCATCTGCTTAATGGAAAAACGTCCCTTCCTTCTGGGGGGAGGGGTGCTCTTATCCGTGAATTTCTTTCAAATTATGTGGCAATGTTCAAGTACCTTATAGTGGCAAAACCCAGATGTATATGTTTAATCAACAAAACTTAAATGGAAGATGAGATGGGAGGAAGTAAACTCTAGAACTGACTTAAGTGTGTTTGTTTGTTTATGTGGCTGGCGCCTTTTCTGTTTTGGAATTGCTTACAACCTTTGACTCTTTAGCCTCCATTTTAGCAGCTGTGTTCCGTTAAACAAGAATTTGAAACATCGATACTGGTAAGAATAAAGTTTTTTTAAAAATAAAAATGTATGATTTACTTAATTTCTCCCTGAAAGAGGAAGCTCTGGAGGAAACTGAGCAGAGACCACAGTATGGGGGAAAGCAGGATATTGGCCCAAGTCACAGAGGCCAGTGATATCAGCTCCCTCTAACATAACACGCAGTAACAAGATGGGAGACTCAAATTGCACCTTTAATCCCATGCTCCACAGTGGGGGATGGAACGTCCTGCTGTGGGGTTTTGGCACTAATTAGCCTATTTCCCAAACCCAGACAGGGCAACAGAACCATAGGCAAAAGGCAAAAGAAATGGGGTTAGCCCAGGCTGCCTCTACCCACCCTGTTGAATGGCTTCAGGCTTCCCTCACACCTCTCTGCCTCAGTTTCTTCTAAAATGCACTATCTGAAAATGATCTTATGGTTTAAGGACTGTGCCCTAACGAAATTCCTCAGTCTCAAATGTTGATTAAATAAAAGGCACCAATTGTGAAGAAATCTGTTTTGTGTTGGTCTGATATTAGTTTGTTAAATGTCCTTTCAGTTCGTGGCACAATGACCTAAGAGGGCAGGTGTGCCACATGTCCTGTCACCGTGTCCTGTCCTTGGGGAGGAGTGAGGCCATTCCTAATGCTGGGAGCGGTGGGGTTGTTTTTCCTACATTCTTCCCCTGTGCTCAGTGTCTAGAACAAACATTTCAGAGCCCCATACCCATTGGGAGGTAACAGCAATGAGAAATAGCCAACCGTAGTTACGTCATGGCCTGGAGGCTTAGAGATAGTTGGGATAAACCAAGTCTTTCACTTTTCTATTAATTATCACTCCCTCCCAGGTGCTTTTCTCCTGCCATTTCTTTATTGGTCCCTGTCTCCACACAATTTTAGTACTTATATTATCATTTTATATGTTGCAAGGTCTGGTAATAGCTAAATTTTCTCTCTCTCTCTCTCTCACACACACACACCAAATTTGGTTCCATTGCCTGGGGCAAACAAAGCAAATACTTCTTGACAAAATTGGCTTTGCAAATTAAATGACTTACCATCACATTTGTTTTATGCTTTAACCCCTTTCAGCCATTTAAAATTTTGGTCAAATATTACTAGTGTTTGTTTTTCTCAAAATCTCCCTGACAGGGAGTCCCCTCCCCAGCCAGGAAGCAGGACAGTCCCTACTGTGGCAGTCCCCTCTCTGCTCCCCTCCCAGTAAACAGAGCCTGCAATGCAGAGCCACATCACCTGTTGATAGGGCTCTGCCAGCAGAGACAGGACACCCGAGGAGACCAGGAGGGGGAGGGAGAGGCTGCCTCCCCAGCCTCAAGTGTGGCCACAGCCTGTATGTTGTTCCTAAGGGCCTATCTTAGGGTGAGCATGTTACATGTCAGCAAGAGGGTGTGGCTGCCCACGGTTAACGAGCGCAGCAGTAATTTAAATGCAAGGGCAACAGAAAGGGTGCGACTACAGAGAATAAAAGAACTAGATGTGAAGCAGCCAGGCAGGAGCTACAAGAAGGAAAGGGGGAGGGGGCGAAGCCAGCCAGCAAATTTTATGGGTATACAAAAGCATTTACGAGACAAGAAAGAAAAAAGTTGAGGGCACAATCAACTATGGCAAGCTGAAAGGGGTTAAAACCAGGTACAAGAAGCTGGCGTCACCTCAGTGTTAGGAGTGTTTATAATAGCCAAAGATGGCCGCTAATGAGGCTTTCAGATTAGTCACCCTTGAAGTCACTGTTCCCTGACAGTCCCCAGAATTTCAACTTCATCTACAGAATGGAGTTCTCATACAGATACTTCAAATTTGTAAGCTTACTTACCAGTTTAAAACCTAAGCATTGGGTTTTGACTCAAGAAAGGCCAGCCTCTACGGCTCCCACTCTCAGACTTGAG